GCTATAGCAAATCCTGTAAAATGAGAGATATTTCAGTAAACTTTCTCTCGAAATGGGCATGGTTCAACTGTTTTCAGCCATTCGTTCATTATTTCAAAATTCGGGCACCCGCGCCTCATTCAGGAACGATTCGAGATCGGCCAAGTCCTTAACTGGTGAGGTAATCAATTTTTTAGGGCTTTTGACTACAAGCTGGTGCTTTGGGAAATTCTCTAAAATGAGCCATTTTTGATAAAACTTGTCTCGATGGGGACATTGTTCGACTGTTTTCAGGCATTCGTTCATCATTTCAAATTTGGGCACCCCTGTCTTGTCTGGGGACGTTTGGAAATCGACCGAGTTCCCAATTGCCCACGGAATATAAAATTTAAGGCCGCCAACTACAAGTCGGTACTATTGCGAAATTCTGGGCTTCAGCCGTCTTTGACGAATGTGATATCAAGTCGCATATTTCAATGCGCTCTTCTCCCGATATATATTTTTTTATTGTTTGCGCGCAGGGCAGTTGGGATAGTTAATTGAATATAAACATGTATTACGTGTATTGTTTTCGACATGTGAATGTGAAGTTCACAAGAACAATCATCTTCTCATAAACCGCTTATTCACCGCAGTGCTCCCATTCCTTACAACAAAAATCATTTTTTTTATAATCACATAAGATTAATTATAAACAAAATATTTATAGAACTTTTTTTATAATTTTAGAATAATGTAAAATAAAACAGCTGTTTTGTTTGTTAGTTTAGCGTAGAAGGTTATACAAATTTCTACGGTTGTATAACTCGTTAGTTCGATCCCGCCTCTATGGTGCAGCTCTGTATGGATCGGCAAGGGCTTCTACACAGAAGCTGTTGTACGCCGTCTATCACCTAGGGCTCCGACTTGCCACGGGGGTTTTAATGCGAAAGCATGAACTGGTTCCATGGAGCGAGCCGACGTCATCAGCCACGCCAAACGGCAGATAAATTTGAGAAGCCGCGATCTGAGGCATCCCAGCTTTGAAGCCGCGCAAATAGCCACGCAAAACGGCAACTAAATGAAGCCGAAGGAGGCCGCCGCGCGTCGTTTTCAATCAGCGCCACCCCATACCATGACGCTGCGTGCCCTCGCCGCCAGCGCGCCGGCAGAAGGAATCAGCTGGCGCGCTCGGGCGGCGGCACGACCACCCAAGCGCACCAGTCGATTCCCGCAGCTAATTCCGTGCCGCCGACAGAGCGGCGGCACGGCCGATGTCAGCGAGGCGCGGCAACTTCACGAGGACGCGCGCAAGAACGGCATTCATGATTTCGCATTCACAACTCATAAGAAATGCTTAGGTGTACCTCGAGCCTTTTTTCGTACATTTGTCTTAAAGGCGTTTCCGAAAAAAGGTAACGAAACACGTTACTCGTTCCTTGCAAATAAAAGAAACGCGTTACCGAACTACGTTACCTTTAAATAAAAGGCACGCGTTACCGTTACCTTTAAAAAGTAACGCACGTCACTTTGGCGTTACATTTTAGTTATGAAATAACACGTTTTAGTCTTTTGACGTTACAGGCATGCATAAGTGCAGGGATGGGCAAAATACATGCAAACATGTATCGAAATACAAATACAAAATACTTCGTCCAAAATGTATTTAAATACAAATCTAATTACATTTCCAAAAAAGCATTTAAATACAAGATACAAATACAACCAAATGTATTTGGTGTCCCCAAATACTTTCCTAAATACATTCCTCAAAATTTGCGTCAGCGACTTCAGGGCAACTGCAACGGGTTTCTGGGTATCTCATTTTAATTTTGCATCACAAACTCGGGAGTTAGTGCGCGAGCCTCTAGTAACGTAATAGAAATATAATTAAAAAAATGTAATCAGCTTGGACGTAATAGGTGAAAAAAGTACAGAGCTTCAAGAAGCTTTTTTTGTCGATTACATTTTGGTATAGACCAACAAAGAACCGAGACGACCAAGACGCGCAGCACTAGCTAGAGATTTTTTTTATTGTTGCAACTTGCACCAGTTACGAAAATCTGGACGGCCCGCGCATTCAGAATGTTCCGGGAAAATATATGGATGGAAATCAGGCTGGAAAGCATCACAAGTTGTCACAGGCACTTATTTAGCCAGTCTGCCTGTGAACGTCGATTTCGTCACTATTCTTGCCCTGGACTAGCACCGTAATCACAAAGTCGCTAAACGCTTGTGCTTGATTGAGAGACACTGCATTCGGTGCAGAACGCAGTTTTTTCCTGCTCTGGACAGTGACAATAAATTTAAGGGATGTATTTTCGCCCACAAAATTGTATTTAATTACAATTGTATTTGAAATACCCACGTTTTAGTATTTAAATACACACGTCAAATACATTACCCAATTTGTAATTAAATACAAGTGCAAAATACACAAAGTATTTGAAATACGTATTTCAAATACTTGTATTTGAAATACTGCCCATCCCTGCATAAGTGTAACGAATAACGTAGCTGCGTTACATCTTACTCGAAATAAGTAACGTAAGTACTGTTTTTAATATGTAACGTTACAACGTTACGGGAAGAAGTAATGCGTTACCGGTAACGCCGTTACTTGTAACGCGTTACCGCCAACACTGGTGGATACACATCGTGTCTCTCGAGAGGCGAAGGCAATACCTCAGCCTTTGTTACAGTTAAAAGTTGTATTCTGATCTGAAACATTTTGCTTACAGTGTCTTCCAAAGTCCTCGGTTTTCCAAACTCTCTGAAAACAAGTTCGGAACGCGCCATTAAACTCGTAATCAACAACAACACTAGGTTACTGAATCAAAAATGGCGACGTGCGTGGTTTGCGGGTTTTCGCTTAGCGTATCCAAGACGCTAAGAGTGTGTCTGCTTTGTTCAAGATGCAGATGAAGCTAGCTACTTTCTGTGGAAATGGTTCGTCGGTCAAGGCTTTCTAATAAACATGGGCGACCGGATTGGGGTGCAAGGGGGGAGGAGGTGGGGGGGAGGACTGCCTCTTTCTGGGATTCCCGGTATATTGACAACGAGATGATTTGGTGGCGTATCCTTTTCAATCCCACCGCTGATACATCGTACAAAAGCCAGTGTGCAAACACTGTCTTCACTCGTGTTTCTTCCTTGTATGGTGCTCACGTTGCTCATACAACAGCAGTGTACGGATAGGAGCGAAGCGTATGTAGGGAACAAGCACGCTTCGAAGTAGCCTGAGCTGTGTCCGCAGGCACTTTGGTCATCGTGTCTGCAGGGAATACTGTGTTCTTTGTCTGCGGCTTGATGGCCCGTGCTCGTGACGGCACGACTAGGATTCTCAAATGTGAAGGAGAAGCCCGAGGGTATGTGGAACGAGCACGGCGGAAGCTGGATGTCATCGTGTTCACAAAACCAACACCATCAAAGTTGGCAGTCTGACGTCACCACTTAGTTTCGTCGATAAAAAAAAATAATTCGACGAAATGACTGCGATCATACTAAAACATATGCACGTCTAAACAGTTGTGGTTGGTCCAGTATAAAAATAAAATGCATACCCCCTTTCCTTCCCCCCCCCCCCCCCCCCCCCGGAAAAATAATAGGGTTTGACTGTGGCCCCCCTCGAAAAAACGTTCTGCGGACGCCCATGCTATTTTGCGATATGAGAAACATTCCAGAATAAACCTGTACTTCGTTCCAGCAGTATGTTCGATGTATCGAATTATTTGTAAAATCGAATACTAAGAATCCGAAAGTCGAATGGAATTGTTGGGTGAGTCATTATTTGTACTCCAATTCGAAACGCGAATATTCGCACACCCCGAATTTCACTTCATTGCGAATACAGGTCATAAAGCATATCCGTAAGTCCAAACTAAACCGAACGTAGTAGGACCTTGTTTCGTTGCGTTATGTTAAATGGATCCCCGGTTCAACGAGATGCTATAGCATAGCTGGCGTCGTATACGAAGAATTCGCTTGGCAATCGTCGTCGGATGACGAAAGAGTGGTGCGAGTGAGTGAAAGCGATGTTTATTTATTTTTTAGAAATCGACTGTTGCTTGTGCAATCAGTGTGCACATGTCACTGTCGATAGGAAAGGGGTTTGGGTGAAAAAGAAAAGATAAGAAAAGAGAGGATTAGGTTTGTTTGTTTTGTTTTTTTTTGTTTGTTTGTTTTCTTTTGGGGGGGGGGGGGTGCAGGTGGATATCTCGGCCGTCGCCCGCATGTCGAGTCGTAGGACGACCCAAGCTTCAAGACGCAAGTCCTATCGAAGTTTGATGTGGAGCCGCCTTAGGGAAACCATTACAGTTTCACTGGAGGGCGGAACAGGCGAGAGGCTGAGGGCGAGCTGTAGGTCTTCTACTAGTATCCTTAATCCTGGATGACTGTGGATTGGTAGTTAAAGCTTTCTCTTAGAAGGAATGATATCCGAGATTGCTCTTTGGGTTGGGCTTCATTGTTGTAGTGATACAACAATGAAGAAAATATCTGTACCTCTGGAGGAAAAATGTTAGATTTTTGTATCACTGCAGTCCGTCTCGCCTGTCATAGCTCAGGGAAACGAGTTTGATGGTTATTGATATTCCTCTAAGGTAAGAATGAATGTTTTTGGTGACGAACGCGCGTATGTTGCTTGCTGCACTGGTTCCCTCCTGGTTTCACAATGATCGCACAAGTGGAAGAATCATTTGAAGAAATGTAAGTATGCTACGTGACCATTCTGAATTCACTGTTGCTAGCAGCGTGCAAGCCATGTTATACTTCGTTTCAGCTTCGGTCCAGACGCAGCCAAAGCTACAAACGCGAACTCCGGGCTTTCAGCATCCCCGCCAAGGACGCGCGCTCGTGCAGGGAAAACACTGTTCTGGGCCACATGCTCGCGCTTGTAGCATCGGCTGCGTCTGGACCGAAGCTGAAACGAAGTATAGTTGCTGCCTCAGGAAGAGGAAGCAGCAACTAATATGGCTCGTTCTCAAAGCGCTTCAGTGGCCCTTTCGGTGACCCGTGACTGACGATGTGGTGACGTCGTGCAGCTCCGGGACCGGGTGCTGAATGGCGAGCTGCCCGTGGGCAAGGACGAGGCGTCCATTCTAGCGGGCGTCCAGCTGCGCATCGAGGAGTCGTGGCCCAGCAACGCACGCTCGCCCAGCGCGCTCCCATCGGACCACCTGGGCAAGCTCATCCCCATCTCCGAGGATGCCAAGGTCGGTGTGGCCTGCTTTCAGAGACACAATCATTGCCCTCCAAGTGCCCACATACTTGTCTACTAGCGGCTTTGAATTGCGTTCCGCGAAGGCCCAGTATACTACCCATTCTCAAGGGAGAGCTGCTTAGCTCTCTTCTGTGAAATGTCGTACGCCGCGCGTACGTCAACGGCGCAGTGGCTGGGAGTTTCTCGCCTGGGTGATAAGCGCTGAAAAAGCGTGCGTTCAATTTCCAACTGTTCTGTCCGGCTTTGTGGACTGGAGTCACTAATTCCTAATAATGTGATAAGCGTGCGCGCTCGAGGTGCGCGAGACGCAGAAGCGTTATCGGAAGCAGGAAGCTCGAGCGGGAGGCGGGACAAAGGTCAGTCAATATGACAACTTCAGTGGAATGCGTAGCGAAATATGGGCATTGAAATACACAGCTCAGTTAAACAAGCGCGGACGTGCTGTGAACCGACATATGGTGACAGCATAGAACAGCTGCAATGTTGTAGGGTAGCTTTCTGCGGCGCCGTCTTTCGCCTTGCTCCCTCCTTACTTCGGACTGACTGACTCTTTGAGGATTGGTTCCTCGAGTTCTCTACTGGAAAACAGGTGAACAAGTATTTTGTACAGTGGAAGACGGCGTTCCAGTGACAAAAGAATCTCTTTTTGCTACCCTATTCTGAAAACTCGAGAAGAGAGTCGAGCCTCTTCAATCACCTAACAATTTAGTGTGACTCTTTGGAACGCCACTCGACTCTTTTGTATTATCTTCTACTCCTTTCTTTTTTCTTTTTTTTTGTATCAGGTGGAGATATGAGACATCCAGAAATTATAATTTTGTGCTTCTTCTTTTATTGGATTGTCCGAATATTTCGTTCCGATTCCTAGATAATATAAATGTTTATGAGGCGCATGAACTCCGGAGAAATTAAGAGAAAAGTTTTATTCGAGTTTGACAGATTTTGACATCGAAACAGTGGGCACCTACCAACCTATACACCTGCTTGATGGTCTTGTTATGTAAAACAATCTGGCGATTAAAAAACGCGATTTTACAGAGGACGTTTGAAAACACTTACCAGTCCAGCCGCATCACTGTTAGAGGCCAAGTTTAGTATTTCCCTTCTCCTCTTCTTGCCTGATAGAGCTTCTATACTTCGTCTCATTTACGATGAACTAAAGGCAGAAGCTACGAACCGCCAAATCCAATTACCAGCCACTTAGATATTGCGTGGTATTTCGCTTCGATGCACGTACTGGTGCCCGCGTCTCGGATCACTGATGGGGATGGGCGGACAGTGGTTCGAATCGAGCAAAGAGTGACTTAGCAATTTTACAATGCAAAGAAAGCCACGACGTACGGCCTGTTTGCAGTGTCGAAGCTATAAAAATGACGCAGCGTTTTTGGATTCGGAGCATTATTCGTCCAAACCTAATCAGTGCTAAGCGTGTCACAGTTTAGCGAGGAACGTGATTAGACCAGGGGCCCTAATCTGGACACTTGGCGGAAAAGTCGGCGAGAAATTCGGCGGCTATGATTGGCCGGCGCCAAGGTCAAGTGTGGCGTTGGCCAATCGCGGCCGCCGAATTTCTCGCCGTTGTTTTCGCCAAGCGTCCAGCTTAGGGCCCGGGGGGGGGGGGGGGGGGGGGGGGGGGGGGTTTATGGCTTTGGCCTTCAGTCCATCGTAGGATGAGACGAAGTATAGACTTTCCCTTCATTTGTGCAGTATTCAGCACGTTTTCTAATGTGTGCGAAATCCCTGATATATTTTATTTTCAGTCTAGGCTAATAGACTGACATCAAAAACGTGTTTTTTGGTTTTTATTCCGTTTCGGTCACCAGGTGTTGTGAAAGTTTGATGCGTTCACAAATAAACTGCTGCGTATACTCGGGTGTTCAATCTCCGGTACGGAGATAAGGCAGCTTTAGGAATAGGAATCTAAGGCAAGTAGATGTCAAAATAGGTATACAGCCGTTTAATCATTATCTCATTAAACAAATCACAGCAGTTAGCGATCAAAGCACCAAGTCTTGAAAGCGAATCATAATCGGGCTTGCGCTGTCACGTACTGCACTACTTTTCAAAAGCCTTCGGTATAGTGATAACGACTTCTCATGTAAGCTTGCTCGCTCACAAATGCTTTGGAATAAGCTCTAATTGGGATGTCATGTTAATGGTCCTGTTGAAAAGACGCCTTACGCGGCGCAGCCTCGGAACTCGCGTGCAGTCTCTGGTCGAGCAAAGGACGTTCCTACCTCCCACCTCTGTATTTTGGACCCTTCGACCCATTCAGGCAACCTTTCTTTTGAAGCTCCATCACGACGTGAACGGTGCCCCGAGAGCGCCTTAATGACGATAATTAGTCGCGGCGGCCGTGACTCAAAACCGCGGCCACGCCTTTCGCGGAAATCGAAGTCCTTTCGTTTTGGGCAATACAAAGCTGTCATACTTCCTGGAATAACGAAAATAGGTGAAGACCTCGCTCCCTCGAAAAAATGCGGGTGATCTTAAAGTCGACTTGGTGATCATAGCAAAACAGTGTCTTAATTGTGTTATGGCAGAGCTATTGTGAAAAAGAGAAATGGCAGGCTGCAAGGGTGTAAAATGTACTCTAACTGGCTGGTAATAATACCTATGCACCGAGAAACTGAGGGAGAAGGGGAGACGTCAGAACGCCGAGCTTTGGTTGGAAGGATAACTGGGTAGCAGTGTTGTACACGTTCCTCAAAAAAAGGAACGAAAGCTCGTTCCTCGTTCCTTCTGATTTTTGGAACGCGTTCCCGTTACAAGTTACATCTTTGAAGAAGGAACTCGTTCCCGTTACAGTTTAAAAAATGGAACGTATCGTTACATATGCGTTACATTTGTATTTTGCTAACTACTATATTTAGTTTAACCAAGCAGTTTTTTTTTTTATCTATCCCATTAGTAATCAACATACGAGTTTGTAAGTCGTTATGGAAGGAAACAGGAGAAGAAAACAACCCGAAGCAGGGTTTCATTTGTTGATATATTCAAGTTAAAAGTCTCAGCTTTCAACCATATTCACGTTTGTAGTGGACAATTCAGAGGAGCCGAATGTACTTTTACCCAACATTGTACGAGCGTTTTACAGCAACCTCGCGCGTTTCAATTGAGCAAAGTCCCTTGTTCGACCTTAACAACAGTTGCTTCTCGATGTTGCTGACCGCAAGACGAGCAAGTCGAGGAGAGGGTAGGGCCTTTGGAAGGTCAGTCTTAAGAAACTACAAATATTTCTTTGTGAGGTTGACTTTGTTGTTCTTCTTGAAGGTGTGTGTGTGTGTGTGTCCGGGGGGGGGGGGGGGGGGGGAAGAGAAGAAATAATGTTTTTTTTGTGTACCTTTTAAGTGAACAATGTTCGGAATACAAGGGTGCGTTCGATGTCTGGCAGTCTGTGATCTTGTTGTACCTGTAGGTCTCGTTATGGACGTTCACTAGTGGCTGTAGTCGACCTTAGATTTCTGGGAGGATTCGTGGAAGCAAAGAAAGTAGCGGAGCTTGAAACAACCCTCTTTCTTTGTCTTTTTCCTACAAATAAAAGCCTTGCTTTTATTACGCAATTTCGGGCACTCAAAAACGAATCAATGTCCACCAGCTCTCCTGCACCCGAAACTGTTAGCGAGCGAGGACCACACAGAATAATTTACAAGATTAGTAGGCAAAAAGGTAGCGAGATCCTACACTTCGTAAAAATATTGTTTCTGTACTGTCAAAATTTCCCTGTTATAAATAAAATAAAAATTACCCCACTGGACGAAAAAAAGGAACGCCGTTACCCTTTCCGTTCCACTAAAAATGTAACGCGTTCCCGTTCCAGTTCCAGCGATGCAAAATGGAACGACGGCGTTCCTTCGTTCCATCTAAAAGGAACGCGTTCCAGGAACGCCGTTCCTTGGAACGCCGTTCCGTACACCACTGCTGGGTAGACCTAAACCTAGCTGCCTTTGTCTCCACTGCACTCGTCGAACGCTTCAGAACGCTGAACGCCGTCGTCCAGCGTTTGGCTTTTGCATTCGAATTTCTCGGCGCATATACACCAGTTTTACGAAGGAGTCCGAGGCTTTAGGAAACATGGGCGCTAGTGCGAGTGCTCGTTGAAACAAAACAGTCTGCAGAGGTTAGCCTCGCGCCTATTCTATACCTTGAATAGTGGTTCACACATCCTGTGAGATGAGCATAGGGAGGAAGAATCTCCTATCGGTCGAAACGGCCTCCTTTGGCTTGACGGCGAAATAACTCGTGCGCGTTGGCTGCACGCAGACTTGTATGTAGTTCAACTACTCTACTCAAGCTACTGTAGTTTAACTACTTTTCTGAGTAGTTTGGTAACTTTCAATTACATTTTAATTTTGGTAATTAGTAGTTCACTTTACTTACTTTTCCGAGCAACTTCTACTCAAATTACAAATTACTTTCGAATTGTTGGGGTAGGCCCGCTTATCAACAAACATTCCTGCACGAAAAGATAATATGTTGCAAACTCAGCTGATATTTGCATAGAGGAGCAATTATGTGGCGTAGGGAAGGGGGGCGGGGAAATTCGGAGGGTCCGAAACGCCATAAAATTTTCACGAGCCCCCCATTGCAACAACCCTGCTACGAGGCGCGAGGAGCAGACATACACGTCGCAAGTGAGGACAAGTGAACGCGGGATCAGCGCCGAAAACTGGCGTTTCTTTGTGTTCCGAAGCCCAGGGAGACTTGACGCATTTAAAAAAGAAGAAGAAAAAAAAAAAAGCTTGTTCCCATTTCTCCGCAACGTAGGAATTACTCTCGCCCACTACAGGAGGTGTACACACTGCATGATCACTGAAAGGAGGTAACAAAATATAGCACCCGCTCTGAAGCTCATCTGGTGCTCCCGTAGTTTGCGCTGTATTTGAAGAATCGCGTGCTATAGGGCAACGCAAAGCTGGTCTCTTTGCATTGCCTTTCCTCCCAAAACTCAGGATATGCAGGTCTTCCAAGATTCAAAAACGCTCCAGAGAC